GGGGGCGAGGGGCGACGGGGCCTTACCGGGGTCTTGCCGCCGTCAGACGTGAGGCGGCATTGGACGTGGAGGAGAGAGGGCGCCTACGGCCAGCGAGAGCTGTGAAGAGATGCCGTACACGCCGTGGTGCAGCTCTTGACGTGGAAGGGGAGGGTAGGGGGAGGGGGGGGGAGGAGGGCGCCCCCCTCGCCGGCGCCGACAGCACCCTTGCGACCGAGACCATCCCCGCGGGCCAACGAACAAGCACCAAGGACCTGGCCTCCGCGGCGGCGGCCTGAAGCGCCGCGGCGTACTGCTGCTGCACGTCGAGCTCGGCGGCGGTGGCGGCGGCGGGCATAGCGCCGCGCGCGTCACGGAGAGAGCTCACCGCGGCTCCGACATCGCCGCACTCTGCGAGCGCGCGCGCGGCGTCGGCGACGCACACCTAATGCGCGGTCGGGCGACCTCGGCGAACCTCGGCGAAGCTCTCTGGTCGCGAATCTCGGCGGATCTCGGCGGATCTCGCGCGGATCTCGCGCGGATCTCGGCGGATCTCGCGCGGATCTCGGCGGATCTCTCGCGGAAGAACCAGGGGGGGATGGGGGCGAGGGGCAGCCGCTCCGACGCCTTGATCTGGGCCTGCACCGCGGCGACGTCCGCCTTGCGGATCTTGCGGCTAATCAAGTCGGGGCGCGCGATGTCGCCGTCGGCGATGAGGCCGAGGGCGAGCATCTGCCGCTGCGTCTCGACGATGCGCTCGAGCGCACTCTTGACGAGCTCCGGTCCTCGCGCAAAGGCCTTGACGTCGTGCCGCACGCACGCGGCGAGCAGGTGTAGCGACGGGTCGCGAAGGCCCTTCGGAGGGTTAGAGGGGGGGGGGGGGGCTAAAGGGGGGACTGAGGGGGGAAAGGGGGGTGTGGGGTGGGGTGGGGGGCAAAAATGGCCCATTGTCCAGGGGAAAGGAAAGGGGCGAGGAGGCAAGCGGAAAGGATGGCGAGGCGAAAAAAGGAAAAAAAAAAGCGGGACCTCGACGGCGACGGCGAGGGTCGAGAAGGCGGTCTGGGTGCGTGACGCACAGCCGCCGCGCCGGTCGCCGACACGCAGTAGCAGCTGCAGATTGTGGATAAGCGCCTGCGGCAGGCCCGCTCGCGTGCACGTCCATATCTCCCCAGATCTCCCCACATCTCCCCACATCTCCCCATATCTCTCCATATCTCCCCAGATCTCCCCAGATCTCCCCATATCTCCCCATATCTCCCATATCTCCCCAGATCTCCCCAGATCTCCCCAGATCTCCCCAGATCTCCCCAGATCTCCCGCCTCATCGGCGGGGCGCGACGCGTCGATGGCGACGGCGGGCGGCGAGTGCCAGCCGAGCTTCTTGAGGACGCGAAACAGGTCCCTCCAGAGCTTCGACTCGCTCCGCCCCTTTGGCCCGCCCATCAGCGAGTGCTTCTCGGCGAACGGGCGCAGGTCGGAGCAGCCGGGATCGAGCAGCACGTCCTGCGCCGCAGCCACGTGCGCGAGGCTGTCGGGGATGCGCAGCTCGCGCTTGAGTCGCGCCAGCTCGGCCAAGTCCGGCCGCAGGGCGAGTGCAGCCGGCCACTCGCTCCGCAGCTCGGCGCCGCGCGGGCCCTCCCCCACCTGCTCCTCCCCCTCCTCCCCCTCGTCGTCGGTCGTCCTTCTTCTTCCTCTCCCCTTTTGGTGTTTTCTTTTCTTTTTTCTTCTTCTTTTTTTTTCTTTTTCTCTCTTTTTTTCCTTTCTCTTTTCTTTTCTCTTTTTTTCCCTTCTTTTCTTCTCTTCTTCTTTTCTTTTTTTTCTTTCTCTTTTTCTTCTTCTCTTTCCTTTTCTCTTTCTTTTTTTTTCTCTCTTCTCTTTTCTTTCTTCTTCTTTCTTTTTTTCTTTTTCTTTCTTCT